CAAGCGGAAATGGCTCTTAGCATGCTGAAGGCACGGGAGGAGAGCGGCGAGGAGAAGAGAAGCGAGAGCAGTAGGGACGACTCAGAGAGCGCAGAAGCAGTGCAAGCGGACATGGCACTGAGCATGCTCAAGGGGCGCGAGGGGGGTGGCGGAGAGGGGGAGGGCGGAGAGGGGGAGAGCGGGGCTCTGAGCGTGGAGGCACCGAGTGCAGAAGCAGTGAGTGCGGAAGCAGTGAGCACGGAAAAACCAAGTGCGGAAGCAGTGCAAGCAGAGATGGTGATGGGGATGCTGAAAGGGCGCGTGGAGAGTGGCGAGTGGAGCTGCGCGCAGCTGCAGGTGGCGGAGGCGTGGGTGGTGTCGGCAGCAGCGGCGCTCATCCACACCCGCGCGTCCCTCGAGGCCCGATTCTTCACAGCCCAGGCTACCGCCGGCACTGCCAGGCAAATCATGGGGCTGGAGAGGGAAGGGAGGAGGCCGAGTTTTGAGACGTCTCAACAGTCCGGGGAGAGGGGAAGCGGAGGAGCGGCAGAGGGAGCTGAGGGGGGAGCGGCGGAGGAGGGAGCAGAGGGGGGAGCGGCGGCAACAGAGGAGGGGGGTGGTGCGAGTGCGAGTGGGGTGGTCCCGTTGAAGGTGCATTCCAGCGTGTGTGACTCGCGCGCCCCCACGCCCTTTGTCAACCGACGCTACCTGCAGCAGTTCCTCGTGGATGGTGAGTTGAGTGGTGGATGCTAGGTATGCATGTACAATCGTTAGAGACCACGCCTTGAGAAACCAAGAAGCACTATCTCACTTGTGTGTGCTGTCCCCGTTACAGAGTCACTCAAGACAGTGTATGGCTTTGTGCCCAAGGCGGGGTGCACGGGGTGGGAGGTGTGGTTCTCCCAGCAGCGACGCCGCCCCAACGCCCCCTCCCCCCTCCCCTTCTCTCCCTCCCACCTTCCCTTCCTGTACTCGTTACAGAGCAACTCAAGACAGTATACTGCTTTGTGCCCAAGGCAGGGTGTACGGGGTGGAAAGTGTGGTTCCGGCAGCAGCAAAACCGCCCCAACGCCACCGATGCGTGGATCGCCCACGACCCAAAGCACTCGGGGCTGAAGCTGCTGGCATTCGACATGCAGGAAAGAGAGGTATGTGGAGGGGTTGAGAGGTATGGTTTTGTTTCGTGTAACGTTTGGTGTGCAAGGTATGCAGCAGCAGCAGAACCGCCCCAACACCACCGATGCGTGGATCGCCCACGACCCAAAGCACTTGACATGCAGGAAAGAGAGGTATGTGGAGGGGTTAAGAGTGGTGTCAAAGGTATGTAGTAGTAGCAGCAGCACCACCACCACAGCCCCAGCGCCACCGATGCGTGGATCGTCCACGATCCGAAGCACTCGGGGCTGAAACTGCTGGCATTCGACATGCAGGAGAGAGAGGTGTGTGAAAGAATTGTCATGTGAGTGACTTAGGGAAAGGGAAGTGTGTGTGCGTTGGGATTGCGCACGATCTCCTCCACTCGGGGCTGAAGCTGCTGGCATTTGACATGCAGGAGAAAGAGGTGCGTGAATGGGTTAAGAGTGGAGCCAAAAGGTATGCAGCAGCAGCAGCAGCACCACCACCGCTGCCCCAACGCTAGTGATGCGTGGATCGCACACGACCCAAAGCACTCGGGGCTGAAGCTGCTGGTAATTCGACATGCAGGAGAGAGAGAGGTATGTGAATGGGAGTGGGAGGTGAGTGTGTGGAGGTGACAGGTGTGGTGCCCCTTGAAACCGTTTGAAACCTGTCCCTTTTACCCTCCACATCCCTCCCTCTTCAGGTGATCCGGTTTCTGACCCGCCCCGACTACTTCAAGTTCACGTTCGTGCGTAACCCGTACACGCGGTTACCATCGGCGTATCTCAACAAGCACGTGGGAGGGGGCCCTCCTCACGACCGCGAGTACTGGAACGCGCGCTTCTTCCACAACATTGCTCCGTACCGCCAGCTGCTGGACCGCAACAATGGATCTGACTTGTTTGACTTTCCTGACTTTGTGGAGCTGACGTGGCACATGGAGAAGAACAAGCGGTGTATCATGGACCCGCATATCATGCCCGAGGTAGGGGTTGGGTTGGGAGAGGTTGAGAGTGGTTGACTGGTTTGACTTTCCTGACTCGTTGAGGAGCAAGAATGGCCGAGTGGGTTGTTTTGAAAAGTATGAGCATGCCGTGCCATTAGACACGATTATGTGAATTGCTCTCAATCACCCTGTTTTCTTCCAATGCAGGCTGATGTGTGTGAGCTGCATCGGATTAAGTATGACTATGTGGGCCGGTTTGAGAACTACGAGCATGACGTGGCAGAGGTCCTGAGCCGGTTCGGCAAGGATGCGAATGATGCGTTCAGCATAGGCCGGGGAGTACACCCGACAGACGCTTCCGACAAAACCGTTAAACTGTATAACAAGGTACGTCTGAATAAATCGTCTCTTTCCCCCCCCTCCCCCCCCCCCCCCCCCCCCCCCCCCCCCTCTCTTTTCCGTCTCCCTGGGTTTTGAAGTATTGCTCGCTTGTTCTCTCTGTTGCACCCCTCATAGCTGCCTTTCCTATCTAACCATGTTTGCCGCACGAGCAATTGATTCAGGTATTCATAATGTGTATGTGTGTGTGTGTGCTTGCATGTGTGTGTGTGTGTGTGTGTGTGTGTGTGTGTGTGTGTGTGTGTGTGTGTGTGTGTGTGTGTGTGTGTGCGCGCGCATTTGTGTGTGTGCGCGCGCATTTGTGTGTGTGCGCGCGCATTTGTGTGTGTGCGCGCGCATTTGTGTGTGTGCGCGTATTTGTGTGTGTCCAGAAAGCATTGGGTCTTGTTGCGAGCATGTACAAGTCTGATTTGGATGTGCCATTGAACGGAATACATTATGACGTGCCTGCTAATCTGAGGGCTGCATACATAGACTAGTATTGTTTCCCCTCAAGCAATTTTGAGGGGAGCAACTAGGAAATTAGGGAGGACACATGTAGAAGCTGGAAAAAAAATGTTTACTATACTTGCATGTTAGTTGTTTACTCGTTTGTTACTGAGGAGTCAAGATAAAGTTAGATACATAACTCCAGTCCCTGGTCCATTGTGGATTCGATATCAGCGAGCTCTGTTTTGGTCGGTTGAGTGTCGGCGGGTCAACTGCTCGCCAACAGAACAGTTAATCTGCCAAACCAAGTATATAACCGGGTTTTATGTACAATATGTATATTCATTTAATAACTGCCACCCTAGTTAGCACTCGAACTGCCTGCCCGAAACTAATCTACAACGTTTGCCCGAACGAAACATGAAGCAACTTTCTTTGCCTGCACTGTTGTCTCCAACCTCCTCGCCGTGTCTTCTGTTGCGCGGGAGGAGAACGCATTTCGGACTTCCTAACAAGTGACTTCCTTACAAGTTGGATAGTCGCCCAGCCAATGATGTTGGAGGCAGCAGCTCTGTGATTGGGGATTCACAGTCGCAAAACCGTCGCTTGTTAGGAAGTTGGTTGTTTGGAAGTGCCCGAAATGCGACCTAATGGGTGTTCTCCACTGTACAGTACAGTTTTTACCTCTGCGCATTTCCCTTCTGGCTGCCCAATTGGAAACATCCACTCCACTCATTGATTCTGACGCGACGCGTTTCTCCAATTGGCTGCTTGGCCCCTCTGGGGTCCTTGTAGGGGCAGCGTATATTGTCCTACACAGAATGCTCAACGATTGCACCCAAATTTGGTCTTTCTCATACCGACAGCCTGCCTAATTACATTTGGTACCAGCCAGTTGGACGCACGATATAAGGCTCTTTTTTGATCGCAGCCGTTGAACATCCACCTTATCACGCTGGTAGCCGTCCGTTCGTGAGATATTTTGAGACGTTGGTTACACCTGCCTACTACTGTCCCGGTTTTGTCCGTGGCGAACATTGGCGAGTTGGGCGAAAAACTCTCTGCTCATTAATTACCCAAATGAGGAGAAAAGTTGTGAGTATCTAGCCCCCCCTTTTGCACGCGCTTTTGCTCCCCCCTCCTTCCCCGCACCTCTCAATTCTCCCGCAGCGGGGAGCATGCGCTGCTCACATCACTTCCCCCGCTCCTCCTTCCCCCATCAACTGCCACTATCTGCTTCTCGTAATTCCGTTCCGCAAACCTTTCTCGTTCCCCCAACTAAACCCCTCCCCGCATTCTGTGCGCCCATCGTTTTGAATACACCTGAACCATTTTGAGACCTTTCCGAGAATCTCGGTATCTCCTCCAACCCTGTACAAACTCTCCAAACATTCTGCAATCCCTAGGCCCTCGCACTTCCCGAAGCCTTCCGCGATTCTCCCATCTCTCCTCAGCCTTCCGCCGATCCCTTCCCCCGGTCCCCTTTCTTCCTCAGTCTCTTGTGTGGTCTCTTTTCTTCCTCCGCGGAGCATCGTCCTGGTAATGGCAGCTTGAACGAGGAGCAAGGCTTGTCCCAATCCCAACGACAGAGACTTGCATTCTGCTTTGTCCTGCTTCTACACCCACACTAGTCCAGCGCAGCCATGGGCATGGCTTGTGGGTTCAACTTCCCAACATGGCAATTGCGCTGCCTCCAGCCATGGCGTTTTCTGGCGAGCCACACTTGGCATTTTGAGTTGTTGTCGTTCCATTCTTGAGTCCCAGCGACCTTGCGAGCAGCGCGTAGAGAAAATTCGAGTACGTGTATGTTCAGTGTCTCCTGTTTCGGTCCATAAAATTCCTCAACTCTATTGAGCACGCTCATTGGTTACTCTCGGTATTTATGAGCCGCCATAGGCAATGGTCAGCGTTCCATGGCCAGATTCAAACCTGACTGCACTACTTAGGTAGCGATATCTCCATGGCGTAGAATATTTACGCGCCGCGCCTCTCATCTCTCCTCGTCAGCGCAAGCTCGTCTACGGCCTAGAACAAATTAATAAACTTCACGACGTTCTAGCAGCACAGCGGATACAGCACCTCCGCCGGTGATAGCACCACTGCGATTAACACCACTGCGATTAGCTCCATGTCGGTAATCCCGATGTCGCCATCGCAGCCGGCCGTTTCCGCTGCCATGACGCTGGCGGCGAAACCGGTAGCCGGCGCTGCGCCGTTAACAGCGAAATCGGTGTCTGGCGGCGCGTCGCTGGCGGCGGATGTGGTGGGTGACGTGTGGAAGGCGGATTGGTACGTCGCGCATTGCTACAAGATCCCCGCTATGGCGCAACTCAACCTCGTGCTCTCGCAGGTAATTTTGAGTTAGTGAAAGTAGTCATAGAAGGGTTTTTTACTCAGTGCAGGACAAAAACAGTCGTTTTGCGCGACAAAAGCGGGAGAAGCATCACAGAGATACACCTAATAATCTGGGAGGTTCGTGGGTGATGGTGGTACGCGTCGCACTGTTACAAAATCCCCGCCATGGCGCAGCGCAACCTCACGCCCCCCGCCTCCGCTCCCTCTCGCCGCTCCCCGCTCCTCCGCACCCTCCCCCCTTCTTCCCCCACCCCCCACGTGGCGCAAGCGCTGATGCGGAGCGACATATCTCTCTCCAGCCGTAGCCTCGCTATTTCTTGTGGCGCCTCTAAAGCTGTTCCTCCGCTCCCTCCTCCCCCTTCCCTCTCCCCCCTTCCAGGTGGCGCAAGCGCCGACGCGGAGCGACATATCTCTCCCCAGCTGCGGCCCCGCGGACCTGAAGCGCTTCCACCGCGACCTGGCGGAGTTAATCTCCTCGTCGGAATTCGCGGGGAAGCAGCTCAACGTGTTTCTGCACGCCGTCCACTCCACCGCCTCGGGCCTCCAGAAAGACATCTCGAAGCGCCTCGCGAACGAGAATTCGTCCGTTTCAAAAAACTCTCGAAGGTGGTTCTCGAGGTTTCCGTCGGGGGGGGACGATTTCGCCTTAGCAGCTGCTGCGTTAGCGACGTCGAATGCCGAGGCGCCTCGGAGAAGGCTAGACGAATCGGTTTTAGGAGCAGCTCTAGCCACGACTGCCGCAGGTGTCGGTTCCGCGGTTTCAGGTGCGACGGCCGGCGGACGGGAGTCGACGGACGTCAGGGGTCACGATAATGGTAACGGTAACGGAGACGGGAAGAGTAACGTGGCCGCGAGCCAAATTGACCGTACCGCCGTTTCTGCCCGTGATAGCACCACCCACGCAGTCGGAAACGTTAGCAGTAGCGAAGCCACCAGGAACCTGCGTTTGTGGACTGAAGCCAACCGGGAATGTCTTAGCGCTACTTTCTCCTCTGGCGCGCAGCCGCCTAAGTCGCCAACCAAACCTACATTCGCGGCTCGACTGCGCTCCCGGTCGTTGAGCGGAGTAACGGCGGCGGTGGCGCTGTTCCGCTCTCCCGAGAATGCGGTTCCGCGCAGCAAAGACTCCGCCGTTGCGCGGGGAACGGGGGAGGGGGGGGCAGCGCCGGTGGCAGAGTCGGGGGAAGGGGTCATTGCGCGGGAACGGGCAGAAGCGGGGGCAGATGGGGTGACTATAGCTGGAGATGTTGCAAGAAACGAGGTTCGCGGCTCCGGTCCCTTCTCGTTCCGCCTCGCCCCGCCTTCCGCGCTTGCAGTGGGGGAGGCGGAAGGAGACGAGGAGGAGAGGGGGTTGAGGGGAGGAAGGGAAGCGGGGGGGGCGGCAGCTCTCCGCGGGTTCTTGCTGTGCGGGCGGGGAATGCGGAGTGACAGCGAATCAGGAGCCAGCAGCAGTTGCGCCGAGGGGGAAACATGCGGGGGCGAGGGAAGTCGGGAGGAGGGGGGAATTTCCTCTCGGGAGGGGCGCGATTTGGAAGGGGAAGGCGAAGAGGGGGCAGGGAGGAAGGCGGCAGGGGGAATCGCGGAAAGGGAACGTGCGGAGGAGGAGGTGGGAGGGAAACGCGGAAAAGAAGGGGCAGAGAGGCATGGGGTCGAGGAATCAAATATTGACGAGGAAATCCAATCAGATACCAATATTTTTCGAGAAGTGGGAACAGACAGTATTGCTTTCCGCCATGACCGCGCCAGCGTGTCCATGCCACGTGCCGCCACGTCAGCAGAGGCGTTCTTTCCATCGTCCACGTCAGTAGCCGTCCCTGCCACGTCACTAGAAAGAAGCGGGGACGGGGGCGGGGGCGTGGGAGGTAGAGCAGGGGATGTGTATGGTCCGCGCTTAACTAAAAGTCGGTCAGTAGCGGTGGAACGTAACCGTCACAGTTACAGCAGCGGCAGCATCAGCAGGGGAGAAGGGGGAAGGAGAGGGGGACGGGGGAAGGCGGAAGGCGGAGGGGAAGCGGGCGGGGGCGGGGAGGGCGGAAAAAGGGCGGGAAAACCGCCCCCCAAGAGCAGTCACGAACGGTTACAGGAGATTCTAAAGAATGTGACTATAGGGGGGACTAGAGGAGGACCGTTGCAGATGGCGCGGGCTATAGCGAGGGGGGGAGTGGGGGGAAGCTTTGGAGGGAGCGGACCAGGGGGGCCGGGGGGAGGTTCGGCGTCTGCGGGGGGAATGGGGAGTCCGCGCGTGTGGGAGGGAATGGACGGCCAGGATGGCATCTCGAGATTCCACAGGGGAATGTCGGTGGCGGAAAGAAGGGAGAGAGGGAAAGGGGCGGGAGGGGGGGAAGGGGGGAGCGGAGGGGGGAACGGAGGGGGAGCCAGGCGGTTTATGCCCACGTCTCTGTCTGTAGTCTCCCGGAAAGGGGGAGAATGGGGGGAGGAGGAGATGGGGGAGGGGTGGGCGGAAGGGGAAGCGGAGCAGGGGGGAGCGGGGGAAGAAGGGGGAGAGGGGAGCAGCATTGGAGCGAGCGGCAGTAGCAACAGCCAGTCACCTCGCCCTCTTTTGTCTCCTACTGCTCAGTTTCAACCCCCTACTGGTCCTCCTGTGTCGCCCAAACGGCCAGCCTTGTCGAAAGCAAAGCTACAGCAGGAGGAAATGCTGCTACAGCTGCTTCGCTCCACCCCCCCCATACGCTGGTCCCTGGCTAGTGAGGGAGGTGCTTCTGGGAGCGGGGGAAGTGCAAGGATGGGCCGGTAGAATTGCAAGCTACAGCAGGAGGAGATGCTGCTGCAGCTGCTGCGGTCCACCCCCCCCCATACGCTGGTCGTTAGCTAGTGAGGGGAATGGTGGGGGAATTGGGGGAAGCGCGAGGATGGGGCGATAGGGTCTGAAGCTACAGCAGGAGGAAATGCTGCTGCAGCTGCTGTGGTCCATCCGCCCCATACGCTGGTCGTTGGCTAGTGAGGGGAATGGTGGCAGTGGGAGAAGTGCAGGGAAGGGGCGTTAGAGCTTGCGATGCTACAAGAGGAGGAAATGCTGCTACTACAACTGGTGCGCTGCGCCGCCCATACCGTGGTTTAGGGTTATGCCAGAGGCTACAGGGATGCTGAGCTTAGTGCTAGTAACTGTTACATTGTAACGGCGCAGCACAACTATTGCCCCCGTCCCACACGATGGTGATACCACTTCTGAGGCGCCTCAAAGAAGGGTGATGTTTAGGGAGGGTGGGTTCAGCTGGAGGCTACTACAGGGATCCTAAGCTTAGTGGTCTAACTGTTACATTGTAATGGCGCAGCCCAACTACTGTCCCCGTCGCGCATGGTGGTAATACTACCCACACGTGGCATGAAATGGGACAGCAGTTGCTGCTGCAGATACGAAACACCTGTAAATTATGTGCTGGGTTGGCTTGATTCTCAGAGAATTATTTGGTGTGGTAGGGTTGTTGACTGCAACTTGCCAGACTGAAGAAGAATGTGTTGCATTTTACTATTTGTCTCTGTGTTGCCTGACTGTATCGGAGCCTTTCCGGCTTGGTTCGTGCGCAGCGCAAAGAAAAGTTCGGCGCCCATGAATTCGGTTGTTTTTGCCGACAAATGCTTAGGATGCGCCCGAACCCCCTAGGTGTAGGGAAAAGCATTCAAGAACCTCAATATCATTGCATATTCGAGTGGCTCATGTTCAAATACACATACCGTATCGGAGCCTTTCCGGCTTAGTTTGTGCGCAAAGAAAAGATTGGCGCCCACGAATTCGGCTGTTTTTGCCGAAAAATGCTTAGGATGCGCACGAATCCCCATAGGTGTAGGGAAAAGCATTCAAGAACCCCAATATCATTGCAGATTCGAGTGACTCATGTTCAAATAGATTTATCGAAGCCTTTCCGGCTCGGATCGTGCACAAAGAAAAGTTCGGCGCCCATGAATTCGGCTGTTTTTGCCGACAAACGTTTATGATGCGCACGAATCCCCATAGGTGTAGGGAAAAGCAATCAAGAACCTCAATATGATTGCATATTTGAGTGGCTCATGTTCAAATACACCTATCGGAGCCTTTCGGGCTTGGTTCGTGCGCAAAAAAAAGTTCGGCGCCCATGAATCCGGCCATTTTTGCCGACAAATGCTTATGATGTGCACGAATCCCCATAGGTGTAAGGAAAAGCAATCAAGAACCTCAATATCATTGCAAATTCGAGTGGCACATGTTTTAATAGACCTATAGGAGCCTTTCCGGCTTGGTTCGTGCGCAAACAAAAGTTCGGCGCTCATGAATCCGGCCGTTTTTTTGCCGACAAATGCTTCGGATGCACACGAATCCCCATAGTGTCAGAATGTGATATTTGTTTGTCAGAATGTTATGCTCTAGCCTGTAGTGGGGTGCTCTATAGCGAGTACAACCCTTCTAGGGTTTGCTATTTGTATCCTCATTCCTGCTAGTGAACCTCTCTTTTGCCTAACTCTCTCTTGCCTAGCTAGGTAAACCCTAGCTATGGCTCCTCACTATACCTACTACTATCACATGCTATCAGAGCAGTGTCGCTCCTGGCCTGTGGGCCCGCCTGCTTCCGCTGCCCTACTGTCTGTCGCGCGCCCCGTGACGTGCGATGTACATTTTTTCTTCCCGCCACGCGCTCGGGGCGCGTGGCGGTTTTCTGCCTGCCATGCGCTCGGGACGCGTGGCGGTTTCCGTCAACCCGCGCGCCCGTCCCCGTGGACCTTTGCGCGGCTCCCCGTCGCCCTTCGCGGCGGCCCCGTCGACCCGCCCGCGGCTCCCCGTCGCCCTTCGCGGCGGCCCCGTCGACCCGCCCGCGGCTCCCCGTCGACCTTCGCGGCGGCCCCGTCAACCCGCGCGCGGATCCCCGTCGCCCTTCGCGGCGGCCCCGTCGACCCGCGCGCTGCCCCCGGGGACCTGTGCGCTCGTCCCCGTCGACCCACGCGTCGCCCTCCGCCCCCCCCCCCCCCCCCCCCCCCCCCCCCCCTCCCCGACACACCTGAGTCTGCTTACCGCACACCTGAATTCGCTTCCCGCACACTTGTGCACGATTCGCGCACACCTGAGGTCGCTTACCGCACACTCAGGGTATGGGGGTGGCGGGTGTGTGAGCCGTCACCTGCTCCTCCTCCTCCTCCGTCTCCCACTACTGCAGCTGCCGCTGAGGGGGGTGGGTGTGTGGGAGCCGAAGGAGTGGTGCTAGGGGGGTGCTATGGGAATGGAGCTAGGGTTTTAGCAGGGGGTGTGTGTCAGGGGGGGGTGGGACTGTTTGGGGAGGTTGCACGGAGGTTGCCGTCGTGTCGCCAGCAGCACCTGTAGTCCGTGGAGTTGCTCCGGTAGCCCAGTCGCAGCCACCTGTGCCAGTCGCCCGTGGGTCCGTTGCTCGTCTGCCGCTACTTTTAGCCGCGGGGCCAGTTACTCCAGTAGTCCGGAGCGCTGTTCCGGTAGCCGCTGTGCCAGTGTGCCTCCTGTTGCCCGTGTGTCTGCAGCTTCAGTCGTCGCCTCCTATCTCCTCTCCTCTTACAGTCTCGCCTCCTCCTCCTCACTTGCCCTCTGCGATAGCCTCTAGCTTTGCTTACATTTGTGAACTTTAAACTGTTGCTTCTTGAACCTGTGCTAAGAATGTGTGGTGACATTGTGATCCACCCTGAGCTTGTTCTGCTTTGCTTGCTGTGCTGATTACACCCCACTTTGGCTATGGGGGTGTGTCAGAATGTTATGCTCTAGCCTGTAGTGGGGTGCTCTATAGCGAGTACAACCCTTCTAGGGTTTGCTATTTGTATCCTCATTCCTGCTAGTGAACCTCTCTTTTGCCTAACTCTCTCTTGCCTAGCTAGGTAAACCCTAGCTATGGCTCCTCACTATACCTACTACTCTCACATTGTCTAGCCTGCAGTGTGGTACTCTATAGCCCAAATTAAGGTTTGCTATATGTACTCAACTGCTTGCTAGTGCAAACACCTTTTCCTGTTTCTGATTCCTGCCTAGACTTTCCGATATGCTATCAGAGCAGGTCGACCCTCCTGGGTCGATCCTGTGGGTGGTCCCACCCGATGCTTCAGCTGCTGTCTTGCCTATCGCACGTCCTCGGCGCGCGATGTTTCCTGCCTGCCGCCCGCTCAGGGCGCGCGGCGTTTTTTCTTCCCAGCGCGCGCTCGGGGCGCGCGGCGTTTTTTCTTCCCAGCGCGCGCTCGGGGCGCGCGGCGGTTTTCTGCCCCGTCAACCCGCGCGTCGCCCCCCGTCAACAGTCGCGTCGCCCCCCGGGAGCCCGTCGCGTCGCCCCGCAGGCCTGCGCGTCGCCCCCGCTGCCCCATCGCGGCGCCCTGGGGAGCCGCGCGCGACCCCTGCTGCCCCGTCGCGACGCCCTGGGGAGCCGTGCGCGGCCCCCCGCTGCCCCGTCGCAGCGCCTTGGGGAGCCGCGCGCTGCCCCTCGCTGCCTCGTCGCGGCGCCCTGGGGAGCCGCGCGCCATCCCCCGAGCTGCTGCCCGCGCACCGCCCCCCGCTCCTGCCTGGGTTAGGGTTTGGGGGTGGCGAGTGTGGGGGTGGTGAGTATGGGGGTGACGGGTGTGTGCGCCGTCCCCTGCTCCTCCTCCTCCTCCGTCTCCTACTGCTGCAGCTGTCGCTGAGGGGGGTGGACGTGTTGGAGCCGTCGGAGTGGTACGAGGGGGGTGGCGAGTGAGTCGTGCTAGAGGTACAGCAGGGAGTGTGTGAAAGGGGTTTGGGACAGTAGGGGGAGGTTGACCGGAGGTAGCCGTTGTGACATCAGCAGCGCCAGTAGTCTGGAGGTTGAGTGCTCCGATAGCCCAGTGAGCCTGCTGCGCCAGTCGCCCGTGGGTCAGTTGCTCCTGCTGCTCGTCTTAGCGCGGAGCCAGTTACTCCTGTAGTCCGGAGCTTGAGTGCTCCGGTAGCCACCGTGCGCGCGCTCCTGTTGTCCGTGTGACTGCGGCTTCACCCGTCGCTTTTTATCTCCACTCCTCTCATAGTCGCTCCTCCTCCTCACTTGCCCTCTGTGATAGCCACTAGATTTGCTTATCATTGTGACCTACTGCTTTGCCTGATTGTTGTGCTAGTTATACCCCCAATTTGACTATGGGGGTGTGTCAGAATGTGATATTTGTCTAGCCTGCAGTGGGGTACTCTATAGCGAGTATAGCCCAAATTAGGGTTTGCTATATGTACTCAACTGCCTGCTAGTGCAAACACCTTTTACTGTTTCTGATTCCTGCCTAGACTTTCCGACACATAGGTGTAGGGAAAAGCATTCAAGAACCTCAATATCATTGCATATTGGAGTGGCACATGTTCAAATACACCTATCGGAGCCTTTCCGGCTTGGTTCGTGCGCAAAGAAAAGTTCGGCGCCCATGAATCCGGCCGCTTTGCCGACAAATATTTAGGATGTGCACGAATCCCCATTGGTGTAGGGAAAGGCAACCAAGAACCTCAATATCATTGCATATTTGAGTGGCACATGTTCAAATACACTTATCGGAGCCTTTTCGGCTTGGTTCGTGCGCAAAGAAAAGTTCGGCGCACATGAATCCGGCCGATTTTGCCGACAAATGCTTAGGATGCGCACGCATCCCCATAGGTGTAGGGAAAAGCATTCAAGAACCTCAATATCATTGCATATTCGAGTGGCTCATGTTCAAATACATCTATCGGCGCTTTTCCGACTTGGTTCGTGCGCAAAGGAAAGTTCGGCGCTCATGAATTCGGCCGTTTTTGCCGACAAATGCTTAGGATGCGCACGAATCCCCATAGGT